GCGTCAAATTGATGCTGCAAAGGTCTTCCCAAGAAGTGGGTTCCCAAGAAGGCGGCGACGGACAGCGGCGACGGAATGGAGGGGAGAAGAAATATTGGGACAGCGATGGAGGGCGGCGACAGAGGGCTTTTGAAGCTCGGCGGCGACGGAGGGCGGCGACGGAAGGCAGCGACGAACAGCGACGACGGACAGCGGCGACCGGAGGGGAGGGGAGAAGAAATTTGCGGCGGGCGACAGAGGGGAGAAGAAAAATCGCGATTGGGGGCGAGGGTTTGTAAAATCGTGAATTGGGTTTGTAAATTCTGGGATTTTTAGCGACACATACAACTTATGTGTCGCTGAAAATACCTTCAGCGACGCCGTCAACTTACGGCGTCACTGAAAGTACATTTTCAGCGACATCTGCTTGACGGCGTCGCTGAAAAGGCACTTTCACTTTCAGCGACATCGTAAAGGCACTTTCAGCGACATCGTCAAGATGATGTCGCTGAAAATGGTTTCAGCGACACTGTAAATGTCGCTGAAAATTACTTTCAGCGACATTTACTCTTCGCGTCGCTGAAAACATTATTCAATGACATCAGACAATGTCGCTGAAATTATGTTTTAGGGACATTATTGCTTATACGTCGCTAAAAATGTGTCTCTGAAAGCTCCGTTTCTTGTAGTGTATGCAGTAGATATTTTCTTTTTGCTCGTGCAAGAACTACAGGAGATAAAATGACAGCTACTCTTTGTAAAGGAAGATCAACTATATCTCAATGAACCAACAACATCAGCAACATAGTAGGATAAACATGGTCAACCAAGTCAACCCACGTCAGTAAAGGATAGTCCCACCAAAACTCCAACAACTACAAATCAAGCTTGACAAGACATCTAATTTTCTCCTTAAATCAAAGCTTACATATCTGCACCAATTTGTCCCTCAATCAAATTAATTTCTTACCTCAAATGAATATTGTCCACAATTATAGCATAATTTTCTTCTTCCCATTTTGTGAATTGAGCCCCTTTTTTAATTCTTTTCCTTCTTGGCATTTTCGATAAGTACACTTACCTTATTCAACTATCAAAATTATCTCATTCCTTGTTATTTTGCTCTCTACGTGTTGTATTTAAAGGGGAATGTCATAACTTCACAGATCAATCCATCTTTACCCTGTCACAGCAATAAGGTTGTGTTCTTGGCCAAAAGTTCTTACATTCTCTTTACTCTTCGTTATACGGTATGTTGCACCAAAGTCATCTAGGTGGAGAGTTTATGGTGAGAAGTTGTACCTGAAAAGACTACCGAGCATGTACCTTGATTATGAGTCGTTTTCAAAGTTTCTATTTCAATCTCATATGTGTCCAGCTCTCCTTTTTAAAAAATCTTGTTAGTCACAAGCCTTTCTATCTTGATGAAATATGAGTTTGTCTATGCTCTTTATTTGCATTACCTTTATTCAACAAATTCTTGAAATTTGAATTTTGATAGTTTGCAAGTTTTCCATGTAGCTTCCAGCATTTATCCTTGTTGTGTACTGATTTCGTGCATACCACACGGTCTTTATTTTATGATTTTTCTCTGTCCCAATTGTTAGCTTCACACGTGCATTGTACTTTTACATCAGTCATTTTTGTATTTCCTCTTTTCATAACTAATCCTCCTATTTGTGGTTCTATCATAAAATACCACGATGAGATTCTTCACTTCTAACCATACCAATAATCTCATTTAAAGTTGATAAAAGATTTTTGCTCAAATTTGTACTCAACAACATTAAATTCTACATTGAGACCTATCAGAAATGTATAAATTCGATATTTTTCAATAACTCTTGAGTAGCAGCATCCTCACTACACTTCATTTCAACTTAGTGATAGTGATCCAGTTCTTGCCACAAGCTTTTGAAGAATTGTAGAGTATTTTGTCAATATTCGACTGCCTTGTTTTGTTTCCCAATATACGAGTCTTGATATCATATATTTGTTCAACATCCTTCACTTTTGAATAAGTTTGCTTCATTGTTTCCCATATATCATCTTTGGAATTCTCAAGAAACATATATGTATCACAAATTGGCTAGCTGGAGTCATTGAATTCCAAAACCAAGACATGATCATTAAATTTTCTTCATTGGAACACATCAAACTTCAAATCTGTTGGTTTGGGTCCTATCCCAAAGAATGTGGTTGAACTTAAAAATGTTCGAACAAGTTGACACCATTTTAGATGAAAATTTTCCATCAAACTTATAACTAGGATAAATGTTCTACGGATCTCTTGTGGAAACTTTATTAGTTTCTTCCATAATAGGTTGATTAGGAGCAAAATACACTAACTCATAAGGAATACCCACACACAAGGTGTGGAAAAGGGAATAGAGAAAGGGAATTTGGACTAAAAATATTGAGCATAACTGGACCAAACCGAATAGAACAAAACCGATTCGGTCCGAGAATAAACAGAATCAAACCGAACCCAAACTACATAAACAAGATGTGAGCTGGACCGAACTGAAACTCTAGAACCAAATCTGAATCAGACAAACAGATCATGTCTCCTACATCTCACCTTTTAAACCTAGAAGAAATAAAGAAGCCAAAAAAGAATCTTACGAGCGACAATGGAATCTGACAATGGAACAAACGGCACACTCCACAACGACAACAAGAATCCAAAAAAATCTGAATAACAAGCCACAGTCTGGCACAAACGACATGAAGAAGAACCCGAACTCGAACAGCACCGCAAACAGAGAAGTCGACGGTAGCGGCAATATCAATAGAGCAGTCAGCAATCTTAACGGCATCTAAACAACAGCAGAGAAAATCCATGAACACACAACACGCAAACGAGAATGAAGATATATCGTACTCGAGAAATCGAGATCCGAAGTAGCAAGAAATTGATTGACAATAAAGGACAATCTAAAAAGTCCTAAAAGGCTCTCATACCATGTCAGTGGATAAAAAAAATAATTCTTACATACATTTAAAGGAGGGATACATGGTACACTGAATAGCAATTACAGCGAGAATCAAAAAGGAAAAGAAACCTTATAAAACTTTGCCTACTAGAACAACCAAACCCAACCCTTACGTATAAGCAAACAGAGAAATAAAATAAAATTAACTGTATAATATAAGTTAACAAAAAAAAAGAATGAAGAATTAGTGTACATGAATTTGAGAGAGAATATAAATAACTCACTTACTCCTTTTTTTTTTTGTTAATTACAAAAATGAGAAAGAAAAAGAGAAAAAAGAGAAGAAGTAATTATCTGTGTAAATACCTGATATATATATATTTTCAAGAGGCCTAGAAAGTGATCAAGTCAGGTAAATCTAGTTTATAGTTTGGCTTAGAATTAGAACAAGCTGTAAAAGGGACTTGAAAAGTAGTAGCAGTAGTTGATGAATAATCTCCATCAAATATCTCCCATTTGTCTGTAATCACAGTCTTCAAAACCCTTTTATAGCCATTTCTAATCTCTCCTCCATTCTCTCTCTCTCTCATCACAATATTAATATCATTACTGTTGTTGTTATTCCCAATCTTCTCCTCTTTAACTTCACAACTTTTCCTCTTCCCATTCACACTTCCATTGATGATCTGCTCAAGCTCTTTAATGTCTGCCTCTCGGATCTTCTCCAGTTTTGGACACTCAGGTGCCTTCAAGACTCCCATTGCTTTGCATAGGGCAAAATATTCTGACAAATCTTGAACTTGAGCTGCTGCTTTTTGAACGATTTGAAGCGCCATGGACGCTTCGGTTTTCGGTGAGGACGAGTTAATCTGCAGCAGAACTTGAGCGATCCCATTGCAGATCCTGCTGTAAACGTCGCAAACTTCGACGACGAGATTGCTCATGGCCTCCAAAACTAAACCCGCCTAGAAAGTGTGTCAATAGAAAGGTTAGATTTTTCATAATTTACTGGAATGGTAGTTTAATATGGTATCAGAATTAGGACGTGAAATAAAAGTTTAAGAGTTAAATTATGATTTTGATCCTTGTAGTTTTAAAAGTTTCAATTTAGTCCATAGGTTTCACCTTAGTTTCTTTTTATACTGTCCAAATGGAAACGTGTCAAAGTTGGTTTATTTTCCATTTACAAACAATGAGCTGATTGTTTTAATTATTTTGGTTGAATTTGTTTGTTGATTGTGTTATATTTTAATATATAGTATGAAACAGAGAAAAATAAGTGAGTTTTCAAGTTGACAAAAACTAGTTTAATATTTAGGGATGATTGATAAGATTTAAACATAATTAGAAGTTTAGTTCCTAAACTGGTTGTGTCCTGTTAGGTCCCTTAGCGTTAATAAGTTCTTGAATTTATAAAATGTCTAACAGTTATGTGAAACTAATTCCAATTTCGTGTCCAACGAGCAGTAAAATTCACATGTCCAAAATCCAATTACATAAAAAAAATTGAAACTTCGTTCCATTAGACAGAAGATCCAATTTTGTAAGTAAGAATTTCAAAAAGTGGTAAATACGTAATGAGAACCATTAGAAACTAAATTAAAAGTTGAATAACGTAATAGGACATTATTTTAGTCTATACTAGATAGGTGACAGAAAATTTAGATATGTATTAAATACTTTTTAAAATTAGTCTATTTGACACCTTCAAAATATTTAATTACGAACTTAAAACTAAAGGGAACATATTAGACAAAAAAAAAAAATTGATCTAACATATAATTCAGGCACTTATTAGACACGTTTAAAGTCCATAAATACCTTAGATACGGATCATGCAAGTTCAAAGATTAAAATTTTGAAACGAATTCTCGCAATCGAAGACAAACCTTGATGTTTTGATCCAAAGGACGAACTTGAAGCAAGACATCGAGCATGGACTGGGAGGTCTGAAGCTTAAGGAGCTGCTCCAACAACAAGGGCGGGGTGCGGCCGCGGTTCTTGGCCTCGCGAGAAAGAAAGGCCGACTTCTGGTCCAAATACGCGTAGTAGCTCCGAACAAAGGCGTCGTAGCCTCGAGCCTGAGCGGAGCTGGAATAGGCGTCTTTGAACCCCGAGAGGTCAAAAGGCAGGCGTCCGATCCGCTGGACGGCCGGGATCTGGCAGCAGAGGACGCCATGAATAAGCATGAGGCCCTTGAGCGCCACCACCCAGCAGCGGGTCTTGTCCATGCGGGAGGACAGCCCCCAAGCCAGCGGCTTCAGGTAAATGGGCGAGGTCCGGATCCACTCGAACACGCGCCGGGCGTTCCGGTAGTSGATCCGGGACGCGTCGTGGCTCGTGGCTCGGATGATCGCGGCCTCCAGGTCCGGGTGCCGGTACGGGGTGCGGCGGGACAGGCTGGCCAGCCATATGCTATTTTTGTCTTTGATAGCTCCGGCAGCCTTCCGCCACAGCTTCATTCCTCTGCCCACGCCCACCCTATGTAACCCCTTTTTTCTTCCCTTTCTTCTTATTTTTGTTTTGTTGCGTTTTTGCTTTCTTTTGTTATGGGGTTTGACAGATGAGAAGAGATCTTTCAAGGAATTTGCCTGTTTTAGGATTTCTATGTTTAGAAATTCATCAATTATTATTGTGTTTGGTTGACTTTTGTTTCGTGTTTTTCTTTTGCTTTTCTGGTGTGAAATATTCAACGCCACAATTATTGATCTGTCATTTTGCTTGCAACTTGGAAGGGACCACACGCTTTCTACGATTCACCCATTTCCAAAGTCTTGAGTTTTACTTTGTGAATGATGTCCCATTTTAGTTATTATATTCTATACAAATTTTGTCATTGTGGGTTATTTTCTATGGTTTTAAATTGGTTCTTATTTTGATTTCGTCTTTTATGTTTTCAACTTTTTTTTCCTTTAATTTAGTCTCTCTAAGTTTCAATTTACAAGCTATCGTCTCTATTATTTTCTATATTCGGTGTATATATTTTTTGTGGTACAAAGATAGTGTTTTCAATTTGGCTAACTTGGGTAATTGGTTGTATAAATACAATTTAGGGTTGAGTAAATTAAAAATTAAAAGGAAATAAGTGAATTTTTCTAGTGGAAAAATACAATTTAAAGATGACAGGTGATGTTAAATCCAAATTGAAAATTTTAAAATTATAGGGATCAAACTGAAACAATGACTTGAGAGCAAAAATTACCATTCAAAAGAACGGATGTGAGAGCTTTTACTAGAGTAAAGTGGTTGTGATTTTACCTCCTAAAACCTTCTCTCTTATCTCCCCTAAACCTTCTCTCTTATCTCCCCTGAGTCCGTGTGAGCTTTAATAGACAACTTCTCAGGAGTAATCATGAGTTAAATCCTAACACTAAAATAATTTATGGCTTTTCCGACGTTACTTTTGTCGACGCTCGAAAAGTCGTCACGATAAGCGATTTTGCCGACGAATGTTTCTCGTTAGCAGGGATCACTCCCAATGTTTTAAAACGTTGGGAAAAATTAAAATTTTTGTAGTGTAATTTGAAAAAAAAAATGTGTGTATTCAATTATCCAACATGTTGATGCATTAATTTTGCTTATCAAAATTATCAAATTTGCACCAATCTTCTAGAATAAAAAGAATTCGACGAAACTTGCAAAATAGAAAGATTGCAAACTGATGTGGTGCAAATTGAGATTTTATGTGAAGCGTAGCAAGGAATAACATTTTGTAGCGTACCTTGATTATGAATATTTTCCCTCTATTCATAGAGGGAAAAGCCTAAAGTTAATATGATATATCTTCTCCTAAATAGAAGGTCAAACGTCCTTAGGTCATCGAGATATCTTCGCCTTTTGAATTCCTTAGATGAGATAACGTAAGATCAGATATCCTCTTCTCGTTAGGATATCCTTTTCTTTTCATATGGTTGAAGTTTATAGACCATCTTATCTAAATTGGTTGGACTTTGGCTTCTATGGATCGAATTGGAGATCAAGAGCCAAACTAGGCCGACGAGCTGCTTGGCCTTGACCTAGCACTAAGTCGCCAAGGCACTTGAGGCATGGTCTTGGTCGACTCGAGACTAGCAGCAAGCTGGTTCTTGGCTGGTCAACTTTGTGGTCAGCTCAGCCATGGCTTGGCCGAGTTAGCCATCCGGTCTATTGGTTAGCTTCGTTCTTTGGTTCTTAGGTTAGATCCACTTCTTAGATCTCAGCCTCCAAGTTCTCGAGTGCTCACTTGATGTTCGGGTTTGGTTTGTCGAGTTTTAACCTTGCTTTACTTTACCCATAACACAAGACTTCAACCAGCAGTCAAGAAAATCACTTAGCTAGTCTTTTCTAATATGGAAGGTGTCACATTTACACTTTCTATAAACCTATCTTAAGATAAGAATTCTCCGAATTCCTTTATTTAGTCATGTTTTTAAAACATTATGCAATTAAATTAAGTTACGTCTCTTAAATAGATTCTTAGTATGTATCATATATAATTAGTTTAGATTCCATCCAATAAGTAACTATCATGCTTATCTATGCGATAAAATAATTATCACCTGCTAGAGAAATGACACTAACAACAATAATGATCTCATTCTTCATCTAATTACATGATTTGCTATCAAGGACCTTGGACTCCTCAACAACTTCTTAGGCTTGGAAGTACACCACACAGGCCACTCGTGAAATCTATAAGGTACTTTTAATTTTAACATTGTATTTGCAAAGGCAGTTCCCTCCACCTATCGCAAAGCAAATATGCCAAAGATATCATTGAACAGACTAACATGACAAATTCATCTTATCTGATCATGCCAATGGCTGTGACTCCCTCACAATTATAAGAGACCAAATAAAATGATCTGTGGCACCTCAACAATCTCATCGTACATGTCAGCACAATTGATATATACAAAGCATCAGATCAGTAAAATATTATGCCGTTCAATATACAAGACAACAAAATATCTGGAATCCTCTCAATTTTAGGAAAGTAGTTGGTGTAAATTGTCAATCTTTGCCCAACTTTCTCCCCTCCTATCTCTCATTTTATTATTGTTTTCTCCTTCCTTATTTTAGCCACGACAGTAGCTTCAAACCCCTTTTGTATAAGTTGAGTTTATCTCTACTCTTATAAAAATCAATTTTTCAAGTGAGAATTACTTTGTGATTTATCTATTAAGGTTGGTTTGTTCATGGTATCAGAGCTTGTTGTGCTAACAAAATAAACCACCTCATCAGACCTCAAATTTATTCTAATGGTAAATACAGAAAACGCACTTACCATTCAATCCTTTCACCAATGCACCAGCTTGTGATCTCAATTAAGCTAAATGTTGGAAATCATCTATTATGGAAATCTCAAGTATTGCCTTTGATCAAGAGTATGGAAATTGACCATCATCTCACTAAAGAAGAAGGGCTAGAAAAGGAGATATATGACAATGATGGGAGCTCAGAGATCAACCTTACACACAATGTCTAGACAACAAACGATGGACTCCTCACCTCTTGGTTGTTGGGGATTATATCCGAAACATGTTTTGAACATGATTGAAGGGACTGAGACATCCTACCAGGTTTGAACATCTTTAGAAGAACGATTACTTACACTGACTAAAGAAAGTGAGATTCATGTAAGGAAGCTCTTTTAACATTAAAAAATGAATCCCAAACTCTTGATGAATATTTGAAAAAGTTCAAACATTTGTGTGATATGATCTCACTATGATTTTTCATCTTGCTAGAGATTTTTTTTTTTTTTTTTGGCTCTTAAGACACATGACCAAATGCTCTCTATTGAAATTGAAGAAGATAAATTGTCCCTTATCAATCATAACCAAGCTTACTATAGTCAAAGAGGAAGGAACATAAGTCGTGGTGGGTATTTTTCTTCTAGAGGGAGAGGATTTCCTCAAACAAAACCACAAGGAGCAAATCAGAACACTCACAAAGGACAACAACTTACTGAAACACAAGCCTCATTCTCTCTTAAATCTATAAGTCATGTAATTTGTCAAATCTGTGGAAAAGCAAACCACATAGCTTTTGATTGTTGGAATAGGTTCGATCACTCTTATCAATCTGAAGATATATCGAAGGCTCTAGCTACTATGACCCTTATGGAAGAAGTAGACTCCATCATTTATGCAGATTTTGGCGCTGCAGCACACATCACCAACAATACTGGTAAGATGAGTCACCTAAAAACTTATCATGGAGAAGATAAAGTCTTTGTAGGAAATGGAGAAGGTCTAAAAATCACCCACATAGGAAAAAGTTCTACTAATTATGAAAATAAACAATTGATGTTGAATGATGTGTTAGTTGTTCCTGAAATTAAAAATAAACTCTTATCTATTAGTAAGCTTACCTCGGATAACAATTGTTCTATTGAATTCTTTGCTGATAAGTTTATTGTAAAGAATCCACAGGGACAGACCATGGCCAAAGGAATTAGAAGAAATGACCTTTATGCTTTAAAAGAACAAGAAGATGCTGCCAGCAAGACTATTACTACTTTCTTTGTCTCAAATTCTGCTATTACTTCAAATTTTGCTTTAGTTATTTCTAACAAACATTCCTCATCTATTTGGCACAAACGTTTGGGTCATCTACATGAGAGATCTTTAAACTTTCTGCATGAAAAATGTCTTACGGATGCCTCTAGTTGGAAAAAGCTTGAATCTATATGTACAAGTTGTCAAATGGCAAAAAGTTGCAAACTCCCTTTTATTTCCAACTTGAATTTAAGTATGTATCCTTTAGAGAAGATCCACTGTGATTTAAGGACCTGCTCCTATTAATTCTTGTCAAACTATATACACATGGATATACCCTTTGAAAAGAAAAACAAACTTTTTCCAATGCTTTCTAAGGTTTCAAAAAGAAGTAGAAAATCAACTTGATAGGAAGAACAAAATTTTTTAAAGTGATGGAGGTGGAGAATTCACTTCCAGTGACTTTAAGGCTCACTTAGTGCAACATAGAATCCATCATCAACTCTCATGTCCTCACATACCTCCACAAAATGGCGTGGTTGAACGAAAGCATAGGTATAGTAGAAACTGGATTGACTCTCCTTTTTCAGTCTAATGTTCCTATCAAATATTGGGTTGATGCTTTTTGTACTACCGTGTTCTTGATTAACCGCATGTCCTCAAGCACCTTAAAAATGAATTCACCATTTTGCCAACTTTTCAAAAAGGAACCAAATTATAACAATCTTAAAGTGTTAGTGTTTTCCCTATTTACGTAACTATTGTCCTAATAAATTTGCAAAAGGAACGTATCCATGTGTTTTTATTGACTATAGTCTCATTCATAAAGGATATAGGTGTCTTGATCCTCAAAATCATAGAGTCTATATTTCAAGACATGTGATCTTTGATGGAGTATTTCCCTGTGAAAAGCACACGCACAAATGAAGATTTAATCTCTACTCTTGAAGTGGCTGAATATGTAGGAATGGAAGAATGGGTTGACAATCATGCCTCAAACTCTCCCACAAAACCAACTACAAGTAAGGAAAGACAGTTAAACATTATTGCTAGCTGTCCAAATCCAAATGACAGATTTCTTTTTGAGGAAGAATTGCCTACTATTGATGATGAAGCAATTGCATCTCAAATAGCTACAAAC